CCTTTCCCCTTCCTTCCTTCCTTCCTTCCTTCCTTCCTTCCTTCCTTCCTTCCTTCCTTCCTTTCTTTCTTGGAGGAAAGGTTGCTGAAAACAACAGCATTTCCTGAGGTGGCAAAATTGACTTGTTTGATCAGGGGAAAGGGAACAAAAATAGATTTGTCAGCAACTAGAAAGCTTGTACAGGCTTTTTGCTGAAAAACTGGGACGTGATTTATTTTGATTTTGGTGATTACAAAGCATAGAATATAGGAAGAAGGGGCCCATGATATACCTTTACAGTCTTATAATACAAATGCATTTATAATTCCTGCGAAAAAATCGAAAGTCCCTTTATAATTTTTATTTTGCTTATTAGGTGTTTTTCCTTCTTCTGTAAATTAAGGAGAGGGTTGCCAACCAGGGATCTCAGATTAGCCCCGTTGAAAAGATTGTTTGCTCGGTATTTTCTGAAGTTAATGAGTAACGAGGGTTGGAGCAAAGGTCTTGATCAAATAAAACGGTGTGTGTGGATATTATTAATAAAAGTTGATTGGTGTATACTGGATTACCTCTCTGGGAGACTATATTGGTCCTGGTTTGTTTAGTCAGCTCATTTTATCCAAAGAGAGCTAATAGGGAAGGATTTGATTGCATTTGGTGTTCAAGAAAGTATATCTTTTTAAAAAAAAAAAACAATTTTATTGGTTTTTTAACAAACAAACAAAACATAAAAACATCAGCTCTCTTCCATACTTATATACAAATAGTGTGTCGGTTGGTTCATCAGTTTTGTGCATTCATTTCGTAGTCACAGTTACAATTACATTACATAATAACTCTTATTATCAATCCAAACTTGTATATCCTCATATCATTATTGAAAGAAAAAGAAAAAAAGATTTGACTATACTTTTATTCAATCATGCCTTATGAGAGAACTATACTTTAAGTAATTTATTCTATAACAAATCGTATAATCGTACCAATTCTATCCTAAGAAAAAAGAAAAAAAAACATTTTATAAACGTAATGTCAAGTAACAAAAGAAAAGGGAGAAGAAAAGTCAATAATCTTCCTTATTACCTAAGTATATCTTATTTCAGGAGTACTACAAAGAATAAGAGGTTGAGTAGAATAGGATTGGATAGGATAGGACAGGAATAGAATTTAGAATAGAATTCTTAGCTGAAACATTAAAAAAAAGGTGGTACTGCTGCCTTTGTCTTGGGTTTGCTCTCTTGGGACCAGGTTTGGGTCAGAACAGCAGCCTTGAAATCCGAATCAAGCCATAAAAATATAAACGTCTCGCCTTCTCTTTTGCAGGGGTTATTCCAAAGACAGCGAAAGCAGCTGGTTTCGCTCGCTCTTCGTCCACAAGGTGGATCCCCGAAAAGACGCCCATTCCAACCTCCTGTCCAAGAAAGAGACCAATCACCTCTACAAGATCCAATGTGAGCCCCTCCCTGCCCGATTTCTATGGGTTTGGGTTTTTTTCCCCCTCCTCTTTCTTTCCTGGAGCTACTTCAGTCGCACCACCAAATCCTAATTTCACGGGCCACTGAAAGAGGCTTGGACTTCAATTCCCAGAATTCCCCAGCCGGCAATGCCGGCTGGGGAATTCTGGGAATTGGAAGTCCACATGATAAGCTGTAAAGTTGACGGTCTTGATTATTACTTAATGATTTACGAAATGTATTATTTGCCTAACCTGTGTGGGAGGCCGTTTTCGCCCTCCCAGAGGCTCGAGGGAAGCCTCTGCAGCCTCGGGAGGCCGAAAAACGGGTCCATTTCGGTACTTCCGGTATTTCCAGAAGCCCCGTTTTTTTCAGCCTCCCGAGGCTGCAGAGGCTTCCCTCGAGCCCCTGGGAGGGCGAAAATGGCCTCAAAACGGGTCGAAAATCAGCTGGGAGGCGTGCGCATGCACAGCGCAAGTAAATTTGGCTGGGGCTTGCGTGCCGTAGATTCACCGTCACGGCTTTAAGTGAACGCACCCGTTGCCTTAAGCCCAGGTTTATTTAAACCCAGGTCTGTTAAATAAGCCATGACTGCTAGAGTTCGTACAGCATGCAAAGCCAAAATCTAACCCAAGAATGCTTTGCAGTAGATGAGATCTTTGCAAAAAGGGTATTTTTTTCCCCCGCCAGTGCTGTGATTTCTGGGTGGAATTCTTTGAAGCTGCCAATCCATTTGCTGTGATTCACTTCCTGTCCGTGTTTTTTTTTCTTCTGGGCCCTTCCCTGTTGCTTTCTCTTCAACCACTTTTTCTTTCTCTCCTTTTCCAGTCCACAATGTGAAGCCCGAATGCTTGGATTCCTACAACAGACTCGCGTAAGGATCAGCCTATCTCGTTCTTCATGGTTCAGTAAACCGCAACGTATTTCCTTAATGGTCCTATTGGGGTAGCCCCACAGTATTGCACAATATATATTTGATTGACGCAGCTCTTAGAATGCAGAATTGCAGGCTGACTCTGCCTGGAGTTCGATCCTGACCAGCTCAAGGTTGACTCAGCCTTTCCGTCCTTCCGAGGTCGGTAAAATGAGAAGATCCAGATTGTTGGGGGAAAGAGGCTGACTCTGTAAATCACTTAGGGCTGGAAAATCACTGTGAAGCGGTATATAAGTCTAAGAGCTAAGTGGGAAGAAAGGAAGGGAAGGGTAGGGAAGGGAGGGAGGAAGGAAGGAAGGAAGGAAGGAAGGAAGGAAGGAAGGGTCGTTGTGGACCGTGATTAGAATGCAACACTGCAGGCTAACTCACCGCTCACTGTCAGCAGTTCAATCCCAGCCAGCTCACGGTCGACTCAGCTTTCCGTCCTTCTAAGGTCGATAAAACGAGGACCCAGATTGCTGGGGGGGGGGGGGGGCAAGAGGCTGACTATAAACCTCTTAGAGAGGGCTGTAAAAAGCACTGTGAAGTGGTCTGTAAGTCTAAGCGCTATTGCTATTGTATTTCTGAGCAGCCAAGAATAACAGCGAAGGGTGTGTTTGTTGGTCCAAGGGAAACGTTTTGCATTCAAATAATTGCATTCAAGTGACTCGACAAACCCATCCTTCGCTGTTGGTTATCCTCCATTGCACACTCAGTAACTTGTGAAGCGAGCCGAGGGAAGGTCCAGCTTTTAGCAGCACCGCAATCCTGAAATTGACCATTATTTAACAGATATTTGCTTTCTCTCCCTCTGTTAAATGTTGGGCCTTGCTCTGCAGGGAAGAAGTCCTCCCCAAGCTGCACTCAGACACCGGGTATCCATGCGAACTGGTTGGGAACTGGAATACCTGGTACGGCGAGCAGGACCAGGCAGGTAAGAAGAAGCTGCGTGAAGGGCACTGTACAGGACACAATCCTCACATAACGACCATCTGTTTTCGTGACTGTTCAAGGTAACGAACGGTGCTGCAAAAGGCGATTTAGGTCCCTCACACTTACAACACGGTCACAGGCATTCTCACCATGTCACTTAACAACAGGATTTCCAATCCCTCTCATGGTCATAAGTCAAGGTCGGCCTGTAGTGTTTTCTACCTATTTTTCTACTGATTTTTCCACCGATTTTCTATTTTTTCTACTGATTTTTCTACAATTTTTCTTCTGATTTTTCCACTGATTTTCTATTTTTTTCTATTGATTTTTCTACTGATTTTTCCACTGATTTTCTATTGATTTTTCTAGATTTTTCTACAATTTTTCTTCTAATGTTTCTATTGATTTTCTATTTTTTCTATAGATTTTTCTACTTATTTTCTATTGATTTTCTACAATTTTTCTTCTGGTTTTCTATTGATTTTTCTACTGATTTTTCTACAATTTTTCTACTGGTTTTTCTATTTTTCTGTTGATTTTTTACTGATTTTTTACTGATTTTTCTATAGATTTTCTATTGATATTTTTTTACAGATTTTTGATTGATTTTTCTATTATTTTTCTACTGATTTTATATTGATTTTTCTACTGGTTTTTCTACAATTTTTCTACTGATTTTCTACCGATTTTTCTACAATTTTTCTACAGTTTTTCTACCAATTTTTCTTTTGATTTTTTTACTGATTTTTCTATTGATTTTCTATTGATTTTTTTACTGATTTTTCTACTGATTTTTACTGATTTTTCTACTGATTTTTCTATTGATTTTTACTAATTTTCAATTCACCTTCACCAGGCTTTCACTGTGAAAAACGGTCATAAAGTCACTCTTTTCAGTGCCATTGTAACTTCAAATGGCCGCTAAATGAACCCTTGTAAGCCGAGGATCACCAGTGCCGTGGGACAACCCAGCCCAAGGCTCCCGTACATTTTATATCGACTCCTTCCCTTTGGGGCTCTGTAAGGCTCAGAACGTTTTGTCTCCCTGCAGTTCACATCTGGAGATTCGTCGGTGGCTATTCGGCCCTCATGGAGTCCATGAACAAACTGAGGGAGAACCAGGTATTTGGGGGTGACACCCCATGAAGCCCCCATCTTGGCTCCTGGAGCAGGTTGCCGTGCTGTTTGAATACCTGTCATTTATTTATTTGATAAAATTATATGTGTCGGACACCGGCAACATCAGGAGATTCAGACAGTTCAAATGAGTATATAGGTTTTGTCATCCCTCTGTTGGAATCTGATTCGGAGGGGAAAGCCGGGAAACTGACAGGGAGCGGGGAGTGTGGCTCCATTGGCTGTGGAGGAAACTGGGGAAGGGCAAAGTCCGGCTGGGCAGAGCAGGGGGGGTAGGAGGAGAGGTAGAGCAAGGCAGAAGGAATTCAGAGGAAGACCCAGGCCCACCCCCTCTTCATCCTAGGGTACGCAGGGAGGAACGGAGAAGAGAGCAATGTGGGTTGCATGGCTTACGGGGGAGGAAAGGGCCCTGATTCCCTTCATTAGCTGCAGCTGGGAACAAGGTTGCAATTCCTTCTCCTGCCCTGTCAAGTTAATTAATGCAGCGTGGTTTGTTTGGATTTTTAGTTACAGTTTGTATGTACTTTGTTTTCGGACTGAATTTCCTCCACTTAAAGGCTGTTCCTGAGATAGTTTTTCTCCAACCGAAGGTAACCTGGACACCGAGGGCAAAGTTGGAGATAATAAAGGGACTCTTCTTGTTTATTTGCCTTTGTGCCACACCCTGGGTCATCACTGGGGTTTATCACAGGTTTATTGCAAGCTTAAGCTCGCAACAAGAACCTGAACTACTAACGGTCAAGGGAAATGAGCGGGAGATAAGACTAGAAAGGAATTCAAGATCTCTGGTGAGCACGCAGGGATTCCTGGCTGATGACATGTTTGACTCTCCCTCCTTCACTCAGATACCCTTGTCATCTCAGTAACCTATTATTGTAGGAAGAAATTAATACCTTCCCACCTCTGTGGATGTCAGTCCAGAATTACCTATCTACCCTTCTTCTGTTCTGGCAGGAATATTTGCAATTCCGTAAAGAGAGGAGTCAGATGCTCCATTCCCGGAGGAACCAGCTGCTCCTGGAGTTCAGTTTCTGGAATGAGCCTCTGCCCCGCCCCGGGCCCAACATCTACGAGCTGCGAACGTACAAGTTGAAGGTCAGATCTCTTTGCAAGAAGCCCTTAAGAAAGTGACTTTTCTCCCTGGTCACACCCAATTAAAAAGAATTCCACTGTTTCTTCGCCTCCTCCTTTAAAAAAGACTCAGCTTCTAACTACAGGGAAATCTAATAAGTCAGTGTTTCTCAACCGGAAGATAGGTGGACTTCAACTCCCAGAATTCCCCTTGCCTGGCTGTGGAATTCTGGGAGTTGAAGTCCACCTAACGTCCAGTGGCCAAAGTTGAGAAACAATAAGTAATGTCTTCTCCAATCCATCTCTCATTTCCAGATACCCCCAAAATGGGCCCATCTGCTTTGCCCTCTCCCCTCCATTTCGCACTCTTAGGGGTGGGTCCCAGTTGAGAAATGGAGGTCCAAGATAAACATGACTTTGGGCCAATCACCAGGACTCAGTGAGTTCTAGTCCCGCCTTAGGCACGAAAGCCAGGAGATGGTGAGTTCTAGTCCCACCTTAGACATGGAAGCCAGCTGGGTGACTTTGGGCCAATCACTAGGAAGCTGTGAGTTCTAGTCCTGCCTTAGGCACGAAAGCCAGCTGGTTGACTTAGGGCCAATCACTAGGAGGCTGTGAGTTCTAGTCCCGCCTTAGGCACGAAAGCCAGGAGATGGTGAGTTCTAGTCCCGCCTTAGGCACGAAAGCCAGGAGATGGTGAGTTCTAGTCCCACCTTAGATATGGAAGCCAGCTGGGTGACTTTGGACCAATTGGCAGCAGGCTGTGAGTTCTAATCCTGCCTTAGGCATAAAAGCTGGCTGGGTGACTTTGAGCCAGTCTCTCTCTTTTAGCTCAACCCACCTCACAGGATTGTTGTGGTGGGGCACATAGGAGGAAGAAGTCATATTCTATATGTTCCCTGCCTTGAGCTATTTATAAAGTAATGAAGGAGGGATTACAGTGTAATTAATTTATGTTCTGATCCGCCTGTAAAGCCTTAGATTTGCCAATTCGGTGCCATGAAATCTTTGAAACCATTTCTGCAATCATGTCTTTTCTTTCTGACTTTCAGCCCGGGACCATGATTGAATGGGGAAACAACTGGTAAGCAGTTCAGATATTTTAAAAAGTATAGGCGATGCCGTCAGGGCTTCAAGGCAGAAGGGTTTGCTCTCTGCTTATACCCAAGTTGGGTCAAAGCTGCTTTCCCCTGTGTAAGAATGCCTCAACATTGTGGAAACAGGCAGTATTAATTATTAGTGCCCGTGTTTCTTCATCTCACCCTTTCTTGGTCGGCGCAGGGCTCGGGCAATTAAACATCGTCAAGATAACCAGGAAGCGGTCGGCGGCTTCTTCTCCCAAATCGGAGAGTTGTACATCGTACATCATTTGTGGGGTAGGTAGCTTTGCAATCCATCGTTTCTTTTCCCCGAATGCCATCACTCTGCTAAACAAATAATTCCCTCAACACTGTCTTAACTATTTACTAAGTCTGCACTGCTATTACTATTAATCTTCCCATTCTTCCTTTCACCCATCTCCTCCCACTTGTGACTGTGTGACTGTAAACCTTGTTGCTTGCATCCTTACAATTTTTATTGACTGTTTCCTAATATGGTTTGATTGCTTATTGTACCCTATGACTATAATTAAGTGTTGTACCTGATGATTTTTGACCAATGTATCTTTTCTTTTATGTACACCGAGAGCATAAGCACCAAGACAAATTCCTTGTGTGTCCAATTCACTCTGCTAAACAAATAATTCCCTCAACACTATCCAACTATTTACAAAGTCTGCACTACGATTAATCTTCTCATCACTCCTTATCGCCCATCCCCTCCCACTTGTGACTGTATGACTATCACTTGTTGCTTGCATCCTTATAATTTTTATTGACTGCTTCGTGGTATGATTTTATTGCTTATTGTACCCCATGACTATCATTAAGTGTTGTACCTGATGATTCTTGACTCTTGACGAATGTATTTTTTCTTTTATGTACACTGAGAGCATTTGCACTAAGAGAAATTCGTTCTGTGTCCGATTCACTCTGCTAAACAAATCATTTCCTCAATACTGTCAAACTATTTACTAAATCTGCATTACTATTACTATTATTATTAATCTTTTCATCCTTTCTTTCACCTATCTCCTCCCACTTATGACTGTATGAATGTAACTTTGTTGCTTGTATCCTTATGATTTATGATTATGATTATTATCATTATCATTGTTGTTATTTTATTGACTATTAGTATGATTTGATAGGTCCTACCTTATTATTGTGTTTCCTAGTATGTTTTATATGTATGTATGTATGTTTTCTTAAGTTTTCGCAGGTACTTACATGTATGGCATTCGGCTTTGTTCGGGTATTTTCCCACGTCATTGTAGTTGTGCTTTTAAAGTTGTAGCAATGTTTCGGCAGAATCTCATCTGCCATCATCAGGCTTCTGTATAGTGTTCGTCTGTATATATATATATATTGGTTTTATATATTTATTATATATATTATAGGAAATTTTATATAGATAGATAGATAGATAGATAGATAGATAGATAGATAGATAGATAGATCGATCTTTGGTTGTTCGGGTTTTCTCCCGCGTAAGATTCGAAGTATCTAGGCAACGTTTCGATGAAGTCTCATTCATCATCTTCAGGCTTCTTTCTTCGGCTCTGTGCTTCTCAGAGTGAATGTATATATGTATATATGTATGTATGTATGGCATTCAGCTTTGTTCGAGTATTTTCCACGTCATTGTAGTTGTGCTTTTAAAGTTGTGTGTGTGTGTGTGTATATAATTTCCTAGTATGATTTATAATACCTTATGACTACCTCTAAATGTTATACGTATAATTCTTGATGTATGTATCTTTGAGAGCATATGCATATTTATTTTTTGATAGTTTTTCTGGGGAGAGGTTACATGTTTTATTTATCTAGGATTAGGATTTGATTGAGCCTTACTCAACTTGGGATTCCGCAAGAGGTCATTGGAGGCTTTGCAAGAAATGACGATGGGGTGGGGGGAATGGTTTTTGAACGTTGTAAGCTGGCCGAGTTATCCAATTCAGCTGTGGATTGAACCCCCAAGCTGTAGTATTAGCATCCGTTCACTTACGGTCCAATTTGCGTGAAAGTAACCTTCTAATTTAGATGTTTCTTTGGTCGCTTTGCAGCCTACAAAGATCTACAATCTCGAGAGGAGACGAGGAATGCTGCCTGGAGGAAGCGAGGATGGGATGAAAATGTTTACTACACAGGTCAGGACATTTTGAGGAGGATCTCCCAGACATCTTATCCAAAGTTGAGGCTGCTTCGGCGTGCCAATCACTGCTGGGGCTGGGACTGCAATCACATGACCTTCTTTTTCAGCCTTCTGTGACAGTTTCCCAGCCAATCTTGCAATCCTTGGCTGCCTTCCCCTCTCAACTCCAGACACTTAATCTGCCTGCTGAAGAGGGGGGGAGGGGAGGGAAAGAAGGAAGGAAGGAAGACAAGAAGAAGAAAAAGATGAGAAGGGAGAGAGGGAGGGAGAAAGGGAGGCGAAAAGAAAAAAAGGTGAGGAAGGAGAAAGGAAGGAAGAAAGGAAAGAAGGAAAGAGGGATAGGTTGGGGGGAAAAGGAAGGGAAGGAAGGAAGGAAGGCAAGAAGAAAAAAAAGATGAGGGAGGAAGGAAGAAAGGAAAGAGAGATAGGTTGGGGCAAAAAGGAAGATAAGGGAGGGAAGGAAGGAAGGTAAGAAGGGAGGGAGGGAGGAAAGAAGGAAAGATAGGTTGGGGCAAAAAGGAAGGGAAGAGGGAGGGAAGGAAGGAAGAAAGATGAGAAGAAAAAAAGGTGAGGGAAGGAGGAAGGAAGAAAGGAAAGAGGGATAGGTTGGGGGGGAAGAAGGGAAGAGGGAGGGAAGGAAGGAAGAAAGGAAGGAAGGAAGGAAGGAAGGAAGGAAGGAAGGAAGGAAGGAAGGAAGGAAGGAAAGAAGAAAAAGGAGGGAGGAAAGGAAGGGATGGAGGGAGGGAGCATTTCCTGTTGGCCAAGGCTATCTCAAGTTGGGTGCGGAGAACGACAAGCCACCATATCCCGAGACAGTGTCTCACTCTGTGACGCTTTGACTGTCCTTCTGTGTTTGCAGTTCCTCTCGTGCGGAGCATGGAGTCCCGAATCATGATCCCTTTGAAGATTTCCCCGTTGCAGTGACCCGCCTTCCCTGGGCGGCACCAAGCTCAGACGTCACCCGGGTGAAGAAGAGGAAAACAACCCCCACCCCCCCAAAAAAAACTTCATTACATTTCGTCCCCCCCTCCAATAATCTTCGTGACATCCCGATTTCCTAACTTTTTCCTGCTTCGTTTAGAGCGGTGTCGTTGCTCCACCTCGGGCGCCTGGGCGGGCTTCGACTCCCAGAATTCCCCAGCCAGCACCCTTGCAAGAAAGCAAAGAGTTGGCATGGCTGGCTGGGGGAATTCTGGGAGTTGAAGGCCCCACACAGGCATCTTAAAAGCGTCAGGGGTCCCCGACTCCCGAGCCACGGCCTGTTTGCAACCGGACCCTGGGCCGGCGCGCGCACACAGCTCAACTCGTGCGTTTGTGCAGTGGGCCGGTGTGCATTCACACACCGTTGAGCTGCCCTACCGGCCCACTGTTCACGTGGCCCAGTTCCTCTCTTCCTCCCCAGCTGGGCCACCAAGTTGCAAAAATCGAGGGCTGCTGCCCTGGGTTGAGTCAGACCAAGCTAGAAAGATTCTATCCTTTTTTCTTTCTTTTTTTTAAATCATTCCATTCTTATTTTTTGTCCTCTTCATCGGCCTGTTATTTCCCCAGGGAAGAGCAGAGGGGTGCTGGATGCGTGAATGCTTAGCTTGTTCTGCCAAGAAACAGGAAAATCAAATATTGAATCGATGGCCGTTGACACCTTGAGCGCTGAGCTTGGTGAGGGAGGGGCGCTTTTGTTTAAAAAAAAATAAATGGGCACCAAATTCTCTTGCTTAGTGTCCGGTCTCTTTCCTGGTGGGGGGGAAAGTTGAGTTCCTCTCCCCACCCAACCCAGCCTCTTTTGGAAGGACAAGCATTCTGACATCCTTGGGAGCATGGATGTGCGCCTGCTGCGGCACGCGGATGCTCTTGGGCGTGTGAGAGAATGGATGACGGTAGCAATAATAATTAATAAAAAGGTCTTCTTTTCAAGGGCCGTGTGGCCTGCCTTATTGCATGCGTAAATTAAATATTTAATAGAACAGAGGAATAGAAGAGAAGAGAAGAGAAGAGAAGAGAAGAGAAGAGAAGAGAACAGAATAGAATAGAAAAGGATCGGAAAGAATAGAAAAGAATAGAAATAGGATAGGATAGGATAGAATTGAATTGAATTGAATTGAATTGAATTGAATTGAATAAGAAAGGATAGGATAGGATAGAATAGAATAAGAATAGAATAGAATAGAATGAGAAAGAATAGAATAGAAAAGAATAAAATAGGATAGAATAGAATAGGAAACGATAGGATGGAATAAGAATAGAATGAGAATAGAATAGAATAGAATAGAATAGAATAGAATAGAATAGAATAGAATAATTTATTGGCCAAATGTGATTGGACACAAGGAATTTGTTTTTGTGCAAATGCTCTTAGTGTACATAAAAGAGACATTCGTCAAGAATCATCAGGTACAACACTTAATAACAGTCATAGGGTACAATAAGCGATCAAATCATACTAGGAAACAGTCAGTATAAATCATAAGGATACAAGAAACAAAGTTACGCTCATACAGTCACAAACGGGAGGGGATGGGCGATAAGGAGTGATGAGAAGATTAATAATAATAGTGCAGACTTTGTCAATAGTTGGACAGGGTTGAGGGAATTATTTGTTTAGCGGAGTGATGGCATTCGGGGAAAACTCTCCTTGTGTTTAGTTGTTCTGGTGTGCAGGGCTCTATAGCATCGTTTTGAGGGAAGGAGTTGAAACAGTTTGTGTCCGGGATGTGAGGGGTCTGTAAATATTTTCACAGCCCTCTTTTTGACTCGTGCAGTATACGGGTCCTCCATGGAAGGCAGGTCGGTAGCCATTGTTTTTTCTGCAGTCCTAATTCCTCTCTGAAGTCTGTGTCTGTCCTGTTGGGTTGCAGAACCAAATTTGTGCACTGATCTGGGTGCACTGGAAGCACTCCTGCTTGAGAGGTTGGGGCAGAAGTTGTGTCCACAAAGGGACAGACTGTAATTACGCACACGCTTATTTTAAAAACAGGTCTTGTTTTATTTCAACACTGGGAATTATATTCATTCCCAACCGGTAATGACTCTCAAACAGTTCCACGAGATAAGCACCCACCTTTCTTTCTTGTGAAGTGCTGCCAATAACAAGTGTTCAATGAACTAGAAAAGAAACCAACTGAAGTACAAAGCTTCAAGAATGAATCTGAACCAAGCGAACGGACTTTGCTTCCTGCAAAGGTTTTGTCACCTTTGCCTGTCTTTTATATTTTATGGGAGGGTCCATCACCTCCCAGCCTTACTCCCAAGTCGCCCCTTTTGTCTCGCCTTCTGGCAGCTCTGCGCACACGCACACTGGGAACAGGCTCCCCTTGTTCCTCTTCCTCGCTGCTGCCAGACTCCGGAGGCTCTAGAGGCAGCCCCCCACTCCCAGATGGTCCTGGACCCATCTCTGCATCGGACGCAGGGACCCTCATCTGAGTCCTCTCCAGACACCCGGAGCGGTCCTCGTTCTTCCTCACTGTCTGATTCCGCTGCTGTCTGCACCGGCTGCCAGCGAACCACAACAGAGATAAACAAATGCCAAGAAGGTCGAGACATATCTGTGAGGTGCAGGCTGAGCTGTGAAATTGATCCTTGTTCTCTTTTGTGCTGGTGTCAGGGCAGGGTGCTTGATCAGCACAAGAGCCAAAGTTTCCACGACAAGGGTTTGCAATACTTGCACTTTGGCTGACTTCATCTTCCTTACAAGGAGTCTTTGAAGCATTTATATATATTTTTTTTTAAAGGGGGAGGGATTTTTAATTCATTCGAAGCGTAAGAGGCAACCCTCAACTTACAAGCTGTCAGCGACTGCTTGAAATTATGACAGACCTACCTGGGGGAGGTACGCACTTCCCATTGAACGACTTTTATTGTTTTATCTGTTTATAAAATGCAAAGAAAAATAGGAAATTGAGGGAAGGAAAAAGAGAAAATATGAGGTTTGAGGGAAGAAAGGAATAAAAAAATGGACTTCCGGCTCTAGCACAGCGCAGGATAACATTCTGAACTTTTTACGTTTACACACGAGTATAGAACTAGTCATTTCTATAACAACAAATTTATCTAATTGGCAAAACCAAAGCCAAGAGTTTTATTTTTTATTTTTTCATCACAAGCACAAAATCCAGAAGTGATACCCAAATAAATTACATCCTTAAATAATATTCTCCTCTTTGAACAAAACAATCAATTTAACCATTGCTGCTTTATCTTCCTTGCCGGGGAAATAATACACATTTCTATTTGCACTTCATAGTCTTTAACTGTTAAGTTAAATTACCACCATTTATATTCACAAAATTCAGTCTTTTGAAAGAATATATTCCTTCAGATTCTTTAACCTTAAATGGGAAAAATATTTTTCATCCCATTTTAAAACACAAAACCTTTCTTTTAAAAACATGTCTAAAATCAAAACTTTCCAATACTTCTTTTTTTTAAAAAAAGTTTCTCTTAACATGTATACAGGGAGCCCTCAAGTTATGACCACAATGGAGCCCAAAATTGAATGTCGCTAAGTGAGGCATTTGCTTTGCTCCATTTTACAATTTTTCTCGCCACGTTTGTAAAACGAATCACTGCCGTTTTTAAATGGGTAACGTGGTTGTTAAGAGAATCCCTATTGGCTTTGCTTGCCATTTGACCCGGACGGTATAACGTCTCCTGCCTTGAGCAGGGGGTTAAACTAGATAACCTCTGAGGTCCTTTCCAACCCTGTTCTGCTATGTTCTTTGGAAGCAAAGAGGATGAGGTGAGGTGCAGTTAACCTTGAGCGAGGAAATTTGCATCTAAAGAGACACCTTACAAAAGGTAGCATCAACCTGGTCTCCATCAGGCTAAGAGGCAGGAGGTTGAGTAACTGGGTTGAAGTTACAAGAAGTAACAATAGTAGATATCACCTTCCTTGGACTGGAGATGTTCAGACAGGCTGGATGCCCAAACCCAGCATGCTTGAATCCTGATTCCTGCACAGACCAGGGGTAAGACTAGATGACCTCGAGGCTCCTCCCCAGTTCTCTTGATTCTAAATAAGCCAACCATGGAAATATGAATAGGGGCCATTTCTAGACTTTAAGCAAACAAAGCTTTTCTTCTCAGTAAAAATGGAGAGGTCTTTTTATCAACTGACTTTTGAGTTCTGGATCGTGGCCAGACTGGAGAAAGGAGGAGGGAAAAAAAGAAAGAAAGAAAAAAAAAAGCAGAACTTTGAAATAACTCCCTCTATCTAATCCAGAAATCACGCACAAGGACAAAGATGGTAAGGAGTTTTATGGCCACCAGTCAATCTGCAATCTTTCAAGCCTGATTGTGTTGCAAACCTTGGCAGTTAGATCACCCCATTTTTCGTGGAAGTAAAATATATATATATATATAGTTTTTTTAAAAAAAAATTCCCTTCCAACACACCCCACATGGATTTCCTTTTTGGTTCATTTCAGCCAGCAAATTTCTTGAGTTTCAAATTTTTCCAGGCTTGCAAAACTTAATAATTAAACTCCTGCTCAAAAGGCAACGGTTTATTTATTTATTTTATTATTTGTCAAGCATGTATTACCTAACATGTATAAGTATAAACATGATTATGAGTACATGAAATGGATGTGAATAAAAAGAAACAATAGGACAGGGACGGTAGGCACGCTGGTGCGCTTATGCACGCCCCTTACAGACCTCTTAGGAACGGGGCGAGGTCAACAGTAGACAGTCTTAAGTTTAGGGACAGAAACCTCGCTTTGCTGGAGAAAACCTTTTTTTTTTTCTTTTTTTTTTCTTTACCTCCTTTATTTTATTTTATTTTATATTATACAATCAGGCCAGAAACATATTAACAAGAGAGATCAGAGCAGCAAAAAGAAGCTACTCTGAAAAGTTAAGGAATCAGTTCTCAACAAATGAACCAGCAAATATGTGGAAAACTCTTAAAAACATCACTGACTTCAGCAAACCTCCTTCCCGGGCGGAAGGAAATCAGCAACTAGCCGATGACCTGAATGTGTTTTACTGCAGGTTTGAAAGGAAACTACAGCCACCTATCTCCACAACCCACATCTCAAACACACCAACAACAGCCAAGCCTCCTACAACTGGCCCCAATCCATTGAATCAAATGGATCAAATTTCAGTATTTTAAAGGATGGATCGGTTGAGATGCAGTCATTGGTATATAGGGAGAAGAGAAGAGGAGAAAGCACACAGCCTGGGGGGGTGGGGGGGGCTGTGTTAATTGTACAGGTATCAAATGTGATTCTGCCTAGCTTCCCCTGAAATTACCCCCTCCCAAATTCCCAGGCACTAAAATGTGGCGGCCTCAAAGCTTCCAAATAAAACGTGCCTTCCAAGGCTGACAACTTACGGCAATTGGGAAGAGTTTGCGGTGGGCTCACAGCTGAATGGGAGGAGGTAGTTAAGAGGCAGGCCGGTATGAGAATCACGCACGGTTGGCGGGGACCACTGCATGATTTTGCAAGCCTTAATCTGCTAGTTCCCAAGGGAAATGAAGCCCGTCTGGTAAGATTCTTGTAATATAAGTGAACAACAATAAAGTTGTTGCTTTGGTTTATTAACAGAAACGCTCTTAATTCCTTGCGCCTGACAGAGTAGTTTATAGGGGATTGATGGGCAGCAAGACTCTGAAAGATTTAACGAGAGGCATTTATTCCATTTTTCAGGGCAAAAAGATATTTCTGGGCTGTTCTTTCTGTAGGCTTTCCTAGTGGTCTCCCATCCTGGAGCTAAGCAAGGAGAAGCTTGCTGTCCTTCCCAACCCAAAGTTGGGTAGCCTTCCTGCAACCTATAAAATGAATTAAACTTGGCACCGGAGTGACAAAATCAGAGCAGATTTCCGTCTCTGCACAAAAAAACAGAACATCTAGATCCAAGTCTTGGAGGAAAACTGGCAGATTTTTGCAAGCGAACAGCTCTGGTTTTATCTCCTTCTTGGAAGATGAATAGTGCTGATAAGCCAATAAAACCATCCATCTCTTATCTCCCATCTCAGCTAAGGCCAAGGTTATGACAAGGCTATAAAAGGTTGAACTCGCCTGGTATCGAAGTTCATTGAGCTTGCAGGTTCACCGCAGACAAAATGAATCCTGCTCACCTTCTGGTCCTGTTGGCAGGTAAGTGCAGGTTTTCCAGAGCCAGTAGATCCAAAGAATCCATTCAGGGATACGGCACGCTTCCCTCGCTGAGTGGTTTCCAGAGGTTGTGTGAAACACCTGCATGAATTGTTTCTTTACTCTTGTGAGGATAGAGGAGTTCGTAGAATACAGGTGAGCAGGAGGGCAAAAAAGCAAGCTGGTACATTGTATGTTCAATTTTGATCTGTGTATGTATTTGTGTGTGTGTGTAAGAGAGAGAGTGAGACAGGGAGAGAGGAGATAAAGAGTGATGAGAGAAAGAGAGAGAGAAAGAGATGGAGAGAGGAGATAAAGAGTGTTGAGAGAAAGAGGTAGAGAGACGGGAGAGAAAGAGAGGAGAGAAAGGGTAATAAGAGAAAGAGGGGCAGAGAGAAAGAGAGGAGAGAAAGAGTGATGAGAGAAAGACGGAAGAGAAAAAGAGGAGAGAAAGAGAGAGAACAGAGAGTGATAAGAGAAAGAGGGGCGGAGAGAGAGAGAGTGATGAGAGAAAGAGAGAGAGAAAGAGATAGAGAGAGGAGAGAAAGAGTGTTGAGAGAAAGAGAGAGAGGAGAGAAAGAGTGATGAGAGAAAGAGGGGAGAGAAAGAGAGGTGATAAAGAGAGAGAGGAGATAAAGACTGATGAGAGGAAGACAGACACAGAGAGAGACAGAGAGGAGATAGAGTGATGAGAGAGAGAGGGAGAGAGAGAGAGAACAGAGAAAACAGATGCTCCATTCAGTTGCCCAGACTCCACCCCGCAAGGGATTACGGGGTC